TATGCAGGTCCCTCGGCCATACATCGCCTCGTCGTCCTTATGCGACAACGTGGAGCTCTCGTACAGGCCTCTCGGCCCATCGGCCTTACGTTCTGGTCATCTTTATTTGATGAACCAGACATCATATTGTGGACGGTCGCTCGACCCATCCCTTAGTCATCTTTATTTGATGACTAGGACTACTGATCATGATGAGCTACCCACATCTAGAGATCGGCCTCGACCATCCAGCAGACGGGCACCACTGCAGTTCCATCTCCAGGCCGAAGGGCTCGCACCTTTTGTTTCATTTTGGGGGCATCCGGTGTACTCTTTTTCCCTCATTAGGATTTTTTCCCACAGGGTTTTTCCTAATGAGGTTTTTAACGAGGCATCTCCCCATCGTGGATCAAAAGGTGTCAACCCTCGGCCCCCTATTGAAGACATCATCCGACACGCATTACTCTACTCCTCTTCACCTCATTACACTCACCTCAAGGAGTGGGGGACCAGAAGAGCGGGGGACTTAGCGCCTCCGTTAACCAAAGAAGCAGAATTTCAAATTTTTTTCATGAAGTTTACTCACCAGACGACGACAGATCAGCACACAGTTCTACTCTCTTTCGCCTCGAATACTCTCGACTCAGAGAGTGGGGGACTTCTGATAGAGTATATAGACTCGAACCCCCGGGTCTCATGACTATTGGGCCCGGACAGCGGCCCACACACATCTTACGGATATCATTTGTATTATTGTACTGCTTATATGTCATTTGTATGTAACTATGTACTAGATTAGTCTTTTATGTAGTTGGGCTACCGGGCCCATATTAGCGGCCCGACCCATTATTTCCCTATTTATTCTCCTCTTGGAGCCATTTGTAACCCTAGAACATAAGTCTCAATACCACTATTCATTCATCTTCCTCTCTACATGCTCAAATCTCTCCCATTTTATATATACTTGGATACCTATAATCCATCATATATATATATATATACATACATACACACACACATATATATGGGGTGAAATCACATAAAAACTAGTACTCTCATGCTAATCTACAAACTGTCACAAACTGTGCATTTTTACATTATTTGTATTGCATATTGAAGTTCAAAGTGTTGCATATTATTTGTAATGTATATTGAAGTTCACAGTGTGCATCTTTACGTTATTTGTAGTGCATATTGAAGTTCGAAGTTTTGCATATTATTGAGTTTGTATGTTAGTATTTTAAGCACGGTTTGTATTTGATCTCATATATATATATATGTGTGTGTGTGTGTGTGTGTGTGTGTGGAGCGGATCCGGTGAGAAGTGCCTTAGGCTGAAAACTGCGAAGTTAAACTTATAGACTAAATATAGGAACTTTTAACCAATAAAGCATAACGTATAGACCCTCGAAAATAATTACGAAAATGCCACCGCAAAAATAACTTCACAAACCTGGATTTTTTTTTTGACGCGGTGGCATTTCCGTAATTATAATTTATGTTTTATTGGTTATAAGTTCCTATATTAAGTCTATAATTTTACTGTGTTGTAAATGAGATGCAAATCCAAGGGCTAAGATTACTTCTCACTTCTCATTTTAAGGGGCATTTCTCACATGATCTCTTATACGCGCGAGCGCGAGCGCACACACACACACACAGAGAGAGAGAGAGTAGTCTTCCTGTCCAGGCGGACTAACGGGAACCTCCGTCCGGTCGAGGGAATTTCGGGACCTTCCCAGTGGAAGTTTTTGATGAAATGTTTTGAGCATGTTCTTCATCAAGTCTAGTTTACTCATACCAAATTTCAGCTACAAATTCAATATGGAAGGCAGTCATATAAATTATTTAAGAACACTGTGCAGTTGTACTTTTCAACAAATCATTGGATTGCCTTCACATTTGAATTGTTAGCTGAAATCTGGTATGGGTAAAGTAGACTTTTTGTTATAAAGTCTTCACTATAAATGTGCAGTTTTAATGAAGGATAAAGTGTATCATTTTGAAGCATTCTCGTTTCTCGCGCTAAGGAGTGTTCCAGAACATGGCACACGACGTAGTCACAGGACCAGAGAAATACCAACATGGCACCGAGATTATGATGTACAGCTCAATACTATGAAAATAGATACTCCATCAGTCGATCGCCCTACTCCACCGGTTAATTCGGGTAATCATTATCCCTTATCTGATTATGTAAATTATAATCGTTTTTCGATCCACTATCGTGCTTTCCTTGCAGCTATTTCTGCCACTAAAGAACCCTCTACGTTTTGTGAGGCAGTCCAAGATCCATGCCGGAGGGCAGCCATTCAACACGACATTGCGGCCCTTGAGCGCACAGGAACTTGGCGGTTACAAGATCTTCCTCCAGAGAAGAAGGCTATTTACTGCAAGTCGGTGTAAAAAATTAAATACAAATAAAAGTGATGGTACTGTTGACAGGTACAAGGCTCGCCTAGTAGTTTGTGGTAACCGGCAAATACAGGTATTGACTATGACGAGACTTTTGCTCCGATTGCCAAAATGGTCACGGTTCGAACCATTTTGACAATAGCGGCATCTCGTGGCTGGCAACTACATCAGATGGATGTTGACAACGCATGAAGAGGTATATATGCACTTACCACCTGGTTATGATTCCTCTGCACCCAAGAAGGTGTGTAAGTTGCTTCGTTCCCTCTATGGGCTAAGACAAACGCCACGTTGTTGGTTTTCTAAGCTCGTATCAACACTACTCTCATATGGTTTTTCTCAATCCCATGCTGATTATTCTTTATTTACTCTTCACCGTGGTGGTCATATGTTATGTATTCTTGTGTATGTGGATGATCTCCTTATAACTGGCACTAGTCCCACCATGATAGTTGCTTTTAAGAAATTTTAGGCTGGCGTGTTTCCTGTTAAAGACTTGGGCTATATGAAATATTTCCTGAGAATTGAGGTTGCCAGAAATTCTAGCGGGATTTTTTTGTGTCAACGCAAATACGCTTTGGATATTCTTGCTAAAACCGGCTTAAGTGTAGCAAAACCGGTTGATTTTCCTATGGCTCAAAATCATGGCCTTCAATCTAGTGAGGCGCCATATTTTGAAGACCCCGATCGATATCGCCGGCTAGTCGGCAAACATATATATCTGACCTGACTCGGTCAGACATATGTTATTCTGTGCATATACTTTCTCAAGTTATGCATCAACCTCGTATTGATCATTGGGATGCCATTGTTCGTGTTCTGTGTTATCTCAAAGGCATCCCCGGTCAAGGAATTTTATTGAGATCTGGTACATCTCTTTCCCTTGAAGGATATTGTGATTCAGATTGGGCAAGTTGTCCACTCACTCGCGGTTCTGTTACCGGTTACTTTGTAATACTTGGCGGGTCTCCTATCTCTTGGCAAAAAAGCAAGTTACGGTTTCCCGATCATCGGCAGAAGCAGAGTATTGATCTATGGCATCACTTACATGCGAGCTTCTTTGGCTTCGTAGTCTCCTCTCTTCTATGCGAATTCGACTCTCTCCTATGCAACTTTTTTGTGACAATAAAGCTGTTATTCATATTGCGTCCAATCCAATGTTACATGAACGTACTAAGCATATAGAGCTGGATTGTCATTTTATTCGTGAACATGTTCAGTCCGGTGCCATTATTCCTATACAAAAGTCTACATCTGAACAACTAGCTGATTTGTTCACCAAACCCTTGGGTGCTCGCCAATTTCAATATCTTCTTTTCGAGATGGGCATTCTCAACCCCCATGCTCCATCTTGGGGGGTGTTGGTGCATATTTAACTAACCGGTGCATTATCTTTTATGTACATAATTTTATTTGTACAAATTGTGTACATTATTTAGTCTGCATGTGGATAGCTTTCTGTTAGCATTTTGTAGTGGAGTTGGATTCTTCTTCTTTGTAACCGTAGCATAGCTTCTCCCTTAGTTAGCGGCAGATCAAGTGTATATATACATGGGATTGAGCACATCGAATAGAGTGAGAAAATAATTCCTCCTTTACTTTTAATTTTCTACACTTTCATATTGTTGTTTTTCTTCAAACTAATGATTACTTCTATTATTATTACTTTTAAAAATGCATTTGCTGTCTAATTCATAAATAGGAACGACAAAATTCAGGAGTGTTTGGTTAATAGGGTTATGTTTGTTTGTTGACCACATTGTTTCATAATATTAACGGTATTGATACGCTGCGAGTCTGTGACGGAAGAGGCCTCTACATATCCTTATACTCCCTCCCTGTCGCAGAAAAGTTCACAATTTGAGCTATACACATATTAAGGAAATAAATTCATCAGGAGATAAATTTTACTGCTTTGACACTGTTTGGAAACTGTTTGACACTGTTTGACATGTATATAACTTCCCATTAAAGAAAATGGGAACTTCTTTTTGGGACTGCTAAAAAAGGAAAATGAGAACTTCTTTACGGGACGGAGGGAGTATATGCATAAAACAAACTCAAGCCAATGGACAAGTAAGAGAAAAGGAGAAATAAAAGTGGGTCACACTATATATTTATGTTTTCCATAGGGTTTAAGTACAAAGGTACTATCTCCGTCCCGCTATGATTGTCCCGTTTTATCTAATCGGTCCGTCCCACTAAGATTGTCACATACCAAATTTGGCAAAGTTTGTGTGGTTCTAAATCATTCTTACTTTATTAATTCAATATCAACCACATAAATCACTTTTTATTGATGTGTGTGCCACTCCCTCTTGTCCCATTGTTAGCGGGACGGAGGGAGTACTACGTAAGTGAATTAGAGCTAGACCTATGAAATGACGATCTTCTAAGTTCTAAGTATTGATCGTTTAATAAGTGCTCTGGTTCAATTAATATGAACCTGCAATATGGAAGTAAGTTTCTTCTTCAGAACTTAGAATGTTTTTTATTTAGAATGTTCTTACTTGAACTGTTTTCAGTTACAAATCAGATCAGACTTAAACAGATCAGATTAGACCAAACTTAAACAGATCAGAACAGATCATACGTAAAAAGACTAGATAAGATAAGACTTTCATAATTATAAAATAAACAGAAATCAAACATTTAGCAGACCAAACATGACTTAAACAGACCAGATCAAATCAAACCAACAAAATTCAATCTATGTAAAACATCCTTAAAAAAAATTCCCCAAAAACTATGTTTGAAAGTTGTGGGCACATTTAATCAATTCATAACTACGGAGTATGTCGTATTTGTTGTGCACGGCGGCATTATGAATTATGAAATTAAATTATTGTTAAGCAATGCCCAATTCATTTTCTATGGAATTTGAAAATAGGTTTCTCAAAGACTGTTTAGTCGGAGGTGAGAGGCGAACTATGGCGTGGCACCTCCAGCTTGTTGGGCAGCTGTGGTCTGCCTACCTCCAAACAGGTAGCGGATTTCATGCCTTGTTCTAGGTAAGGGAGGTTCTTGGTAGGGGTATGGTCCAACTGGAATGTTCTTCTTTTTTGTTGTATTTATTCTGTGTTTTGACGGTTATTTCCCGGGCTATGACGGTCCACGTTGTTTTGTCACTCTCAATGTGGGTAGTTGTTTTGATTTCCTGATCATCTTCGTCTGATCAGAGGTTTCTAGTTGCTTTCTTTTGGGTTGCGTAGATAATGATAAAGCTCGTCCTCTTTCAGAATCATCTCTGTGCTATGAAGAGTTTTGTGTAAATGATTTAGGAAGAACTATCAAATAAGCCCTCGAACTTTCATAAAAAGTGCAAATAAGCTTTTTTATAGGAGGCTCTGTCCGGCCATCGCCATTTAGGACGGTTTTCGGTGGATTTTTTTAATGAAATTTTTTGATTATCTTCTTCATTAAATCTAGTTTTTTCATACCAAATTTTAGCTAAAAATTAAATCGGTAAGGCACTCAAATGAATTTTTGAATATAATTGCGCAATTAGACAGCGCAATATATTTCAGAAAATTATTTGGCTACCTTCTCGATTGAATTTTTAGCTGAAATTTGGTATGGGTAAACTAAACTTAATGAAGAAGATGCTCAAAAAAATTTATCAAAAAATTCCACCGAAAACCGCCCGAAATGACGACAGCCGGACAAAGCCTCCTGTAAAGGAGCTTATTTGCACTTTTTTTGAAAGTTCGAGAGCTTATTTGATAGTTCTCCCAATAATTTATTTCAATGTTAGTTTCCATTAGTAGTACTTATTTTTATATTACTTAGAATATGTTTGGTTTGTATTTAAGTATATTTGGATTTCTATATATAGTACTTTTATAATGTTTGAGTTCGATTGTCTGAGACTTAAATTTGCTCGTGTTGTGTCTTTTGATTCAGATAATTTTATATGAAGTGGCTGCTAATTGTATATTTATTCCTAAGGCATAAGATCTTTTCTGATACTATTTGGTTTCACTTTCAAAACTTTATTTTGCATGCTTGTTCGGTTGAATTAGTACGGTTCAGTATTTTGCAACCGATATTATATTACTGCGTACGATTTTGAATGAATCGACTCATAATTCAACCGGTCTTTAACTGTTATGTGGAATAGTAGGTTTAAAAAACATACGGAGTATAAAACAATTGTTAAAATTCCAAAGATTGAAATAATATCCGTGAAAAATTAACAATGTCAAAATCTGTTTTTTTTTTTGCATGTTTAGAATTATTTGTGTTCTCTACATTTTTTTAACTTTTAAAATTTAATTTGATGTTCTTTAACTTTTCACGTTACTTTTTTTGCTTTTAATATTTAACGTTTTATAAGATTTATTGATTGTTTTTATAAGATTAATAAAAAATTGTGTTTTTCAGAATTTTTTGAACTTTTATAAGATTTATCAATTTTTAATATAATTTTTCAAAAATAATTTGTCATAGCCAGTCAAACTGGACAATAATAAAATAGACCAGACCTTTATCTAACACGATTATATATAAACGGATCAGGCACAACCATATTTTAAACAAATCATCAGAGTGTAGCACAAGTGTTCAATCCAAATAAAACATGACCATTATTCTCTCTTCTCTAATCTATCCTCTTATATTACTCGGTATCTCATATTTTAGATTTTGTTAATCCATACTTCGTATTACATTCTCACTTTCAGTCGAACAATTATATATTGTGAACTATTGTCTTCACATTATCTTTTTGGAACACTACAGTCTTTTTTTCTCATTTCCCTTCTTGAAAAGGTTCTGTATAGCTATCATTCATTTATCTTTTTCTTACTCCATGACAATGATACACTTTTTCTTTAGTCCCATTTTTTTAAACTTTGATCAATCAAAGTCAAACTGGGAAGTATTTTGTGGAACGGAGCGGAGTATTATTTATCTAAAAGTCGCACTAGTGATGCATTTAATAGGATGGACAAAGATATAAGATCGACAAAAATTAATTAAAGGATGGAAGAGTAGTACTACCTCCGGTCTGATGGACTTTGCCAAGTGCAAAATATGTGAGAAATAAGAATAATAAAAACTATGTGGTTGAGATTTGTGCAGATGAGAGAGAAATGTGCAGAACCAGTTGCTTTAATAGGAAAGTGGAAAATTTTTTTGGGACAACAAAAAAATGTAAGTTGCCAAAGTCCAATGGGACGGAGGGAGTATATTACGTTGATTGTCCGAAAAAACTTTGTCACTTTCCTATCAAAACAACTAATTTGTGGTCATACTTATTTCTTTTTTCTCTGCACAAACCTCCGTCACACAATTTTTACTTTTCTTATTTCTCACCAAATTTTAACTTGCCAAAATACATCGGCAGAAAGGGAGCTGCGATTAGGGAAAGATCTTGTAGAAGGAATGGGCGAGAACAATTGTCGTTGAGGAAGAGAAAACATGCTGAGGCAGATTCGTCTCAGCTTTACGTGGCAAGGGACAGGGCCATGCACCCTGATTGGCGGAGAGCACATGGTTATCCAAAAGAGCAGAGGAGGCAAGACACAATACGTTATACGTACCTTGGCGTCAATTCACAATTTTTTGGGAAGATAAACACAGTTATCTGTGTATGCTATTGGTGACTAGTGACTACCTATCACAGTTGAAGTATAAGTGGGTGTGGCTTTATGAGGTGGAAGATTGGGACCAATATCGCATTTTTTAAAAACAAAACTTGTTTTCTTTAATTGTCTACTTTTAGCCATTTTTTTGTAAATTGTACAGCAATCGGAATAAATAAGGTGGAGTGTTTTATCATGTTGAATTGACAAGTTATGGTAGATCATATTTTCATTTAAGTTGTTCTTAAATTTTATCAAAAAATACTCCCTCCGTTCCTATTATATCTTCCAACTTTCCTTATTTATCCGTTCCAATTAAACTTCCACTTTCTCATTTTGGTAAAGAATTTATGGTTCCCAACATTTATTACACATTTCTTTCTCCTTTGCACAACTTTCCACCACACAATACCTACTTTTCTTAAATTGTGTGCCCATGAGAAACGGAAGATAAAATGGGAACGGAGGGAGTACATTTTATATACAGTATAATTTTTTCAACAGATTCACCCAATCCCCAGAATATCTCAATTTTAACAGATTCAATCGATTAACCAATTTTTGGACTGCCTAACGGACACACAACGAAGTAAAATATTAGATCCATGACTGATGGAGTTATGGGACTAGGCTCAGAGCCTAATCAGCCCAAGCCCTGAACTTGGACCCGTGGATCCAAGTCCAGAACCTGGAGCCTGTCAGCCAACCCAACAGGGAGTCTGCCAGTCCGGCCAACCTCCCAGGCCGGAAGAGTAACGGTCAAGCAATTAATGCGCTATTAATTATGTATTTAATTCCGTATTAATGTTGCAATTAATTAGTCATTATTATCGGTAGCGGTTATGATTTGTATACGCCTATAAAAGGCGGGTTGTAATTCAAATTAGAGGGTGCGATTTCTATATGCTATTTCTGGCAAATAAACACTTTTAGCTTCTTTCCTTATTCACATTATTTTCCTGATTTCCTGCTTGAGTGTCGTACGTAGCTTTCCTAAAAGCCTACGAGCGTCCTATTTTGGACCAACATTGGTGCTTTCATTGAGAGACTCTATTGTCTCTCACGTCACTTTAGTAGGAATTAATCAAAAAATACACAAAAAAAATCTAGAAATTATGAAATCTGCTTGGGAAACGACGGAGCCCGCCTGACTGTGCGTCACAATATAAATGGAGTTCCTCCAAGCACCGTGAGTGGAGGAAGAGGCTGCTGCTCCAGAAGGTTCATATTTGGATTTTTCATATTTGGATCAACCACCTTCAGTCAAGCTATGAATCCACTGGCGACACACGATTCAGGTACTTCTCTCTCCGACCGGCAGCGGCAACTCCGCCTTACACTCCTCCCAACAGTGGCCAATACCCAGCAGTGACGAAGGTATCTCCTCCTCTCCAGTCGTGGCTTTCATGGGTCTTTCGTAGAAGCCAGAGGGATTTGGTGTATGAGTTTCAGTTGAATCAGTCAACTGTTAAATGTGTTGGCCGCTGTGGAGATTTCGGCCAAGATGGGAGTGATGGGCCGAGGCTACAGTCCAAAATTTTCTCTCAACTGATTCTCAACATCACAGTCCATTACACGGTCCAATAAAAAGATGAATGCTAAAAATCCTCCTACAATTATTTAGCAAAAAAAATATAAATTCAAATATTTGAAAAGATATTTTAAGTGATATGATTGCTTTTAATTTACTCTTGTTAAGTGTGTAATTTTAACATTGAACAATGGACTTATGAAATCTGATCACTCAAGTACGCCGGACGAGCACACACGCTCATAAAATGGCCGAGCACAAACACTCGTGCCACTGGGTCACGTCATATGGGTGTGACGATTAATAAGCTCCAATATAAATGTTAATACCGCACACTCTTGAATTCATACGAGTTCTTGCGTGCTCTTACCTTTTCCTAGTGCATCACACTCCGATCACGGGGGACGAGTCACCCGTTCAAAAGTTTTTACTTGCGGATTCGAACTACTAACCTCGAGCGGCGAGTTAAACTCTTAATAGGGGCCTAGAGCCACACTCTTCCGAGCAATTTTGTCACTTAATTGACATTCACATTTCTCGAAAAGGTTGATATACTTTAGTTCTTTGGGGTTAGATTATCCGTTCGAGTGAGGAGTCCGACTCACTTACTCACGGATTCAATCTTTCTTTCGGAGACTAGGTTGAGGCCTAGCTTGGGAACTTGATGTCACTCTTTTCAAGTAGTGAGTGCGACTCACTTACACACTGAGCTGTGGCTCGACACCAGGGCAAATGCTCTATTCTATACTAGTTTCTTTTATGTGTAGGTACAACTGAATGAAGTGGGAGCATGAGGGTCTTACTGTCTTCAAGGAAGCAAATGACAAACCTGACGAGTCTGAGCCTGACGAGAAGAATAGTTCTAGCCATTCTACTCGCTGATGGCGACCATTGCAATAAAGGCTGAGGATCTCACCTCGTGCTTCATCTTGGGGCGTCAGATGTACTTTTTTTCCCTTCATTAGGATTTTTTCCCATTGGGTTTTTTCCTAATGAAGATTTTTAATGAGGCATCTCCCCAACATGGACAAAGGTGGGGATCTTCTAGTCGTGGAGAAGAGCATCTGACTTGGACTACTTCCTCTTAGCCGAGTATACTACTCGACTAAGGGAGTGGAGGACTCGTGATGGAGTTATGGGACTAGGCCGAGAGCCGAATCAGCCCAAGCCCCGAACTTGGACCCGTGGATCCAAGTCCACAATCTGGAGCCTGTCAGCCAGCCCAGCAGGGAGCCTGCCCGTCCGGCCAACCTCCCAGCCCGGAAGAGTAACGGTCAAGCAATTAATGCGCTATTAATTATGTACTTAATTCCGTATTAATGTTGTAATTAATTAGTCATTATTATCGGTAGCGGTTACGATTTGTATACGCCTATAAAAGGCGGGTTGTAATTCAAGTTAGAGGGAGCGATTTCTATATGCTATTTCTGGCAACTAAACACTTTTAGCTTCTTTCCTTATTCACATTATTTTCCAGATTTCCTGCTTGAGTGTCGTACGTAGTTTTCCTAAAAGCCTACGAGCGTCCTATTTTGGACCAACAATGATGTAGTACCATTTTAATTGATTCAATCAAATATGGCGTGTCAATACTTACTCAAATGTCTTGTCCTCTATAAACATCGAGAATGCTTCTCTACCATGCAACACGGTAATTAAGTGTATTAAATGTTCTTCCCGACAAATATGAGTTTCTCGCTAATGTCTTGGTGGTGTGGGTTTAACTGTAAATAAGTTATCGTCTATTTCGTCTTGGCCGAGGTATTGGCCCAACGAGACACACGTCTCGGGCGCGCAAACCTAAAGGCCGTGACGCCTGCCGTGACATAAGTTGTATTTAGGCCATCCTCCTGTTTAGTCTAATACCCCAACATGGAAAAAAGGTGAAATTCCACTAGTGAGGGAGGGATTGCCCTTAGTTTGGGATGAGACTCAGAGTTGGAGTTGCATTTACAAGCGGCCCATCTCGCTAATCTCACAATGTGGTAGACCACATTAACAACATTCTGCACCTGCTACTAGTAGTTGAAAAACAAAAATAACTGAAGAGTTCCGAGAAGGCAAGCAAAAGTAAGGAAAACATAATCCAGTTTTGCCAGCCACTGGCAAGGATAGAGCGGTTTGATTAGCCCCCGCCAAAAGTCCCACTGTCACATCACAAAGATCGTTGATCACTGGTGGTGCTCTCTGATGTGAGTTTTCTCGCACTTAAAATAGATTGTAGAATAGCGGTGAAAGTACGAATATCGTCTCCACAGGGACGGACAAAGGGGAATCAAGGATTAATTAAATTCAGCGATTAAAAAGGAATAAAATAAAATAAATGCATCGTGCGAGATTGGTTGGTTGAATTAAAATTAAACTAATGTGAATGAATGATAAAAATAAAAGATTGGGTTCTCTCTAATTAACGACGAAGGGAGCAAGGATTGATTCCGGGGTAATCAGATTTCTGGCAGATCAGGCCTAATTACATGAAATTAATTTAATTGAGCCTAGCTAATCAATACTAAGTTCTTACCGCTCTCGCGGCGTAGAGTACAATAAATTAGGGGACCAGGCAGATCTCTCATGCGACAGGATTCTAAATTATTGCCAAGACGAGCGAGCTTACGGCCCCTTAATCGCTACTAATCTCTTAGCCAATGATTAAGTGTGTGTGAATGTGTCCTAGAATAAACTAGATCTCTGTTAATTTATTCTATGTGCAATTGTAATTCTAGCCGCGGTTCCCGATTACAAAAGATATCAGTTAAATTATTCAAACACAAATTAAACAGCATTCATGCAATTAAATCGAAAAGAATCTAGCCATCAATCATGATTAACCCCTTCATCAATCCCAAATCTCTAATTAAACTACTCACAATTCATAATTGAAGAATCAACAGAATTGGGAAGAATAGAATAAATTTTCATTAATTAAAAAGATGAACTTACAAATAATCTCAGGGTCTTGAAAGAAAATAGCGTAAAAACGGTGTTAAATTCGTCCATAGGCCTCTCCGTAATGTTCGTAACCACTAAAAAGGGTTAGGGAGGCCTTATTTAAAGAAAAGAGGGGGAAAATCATAATTCTGGTCGATGTGAGAAATTTTCGCGCGTAACTTGGGGCTACGCACGATCGTGCGTCCTTGGCTACGCACGATCGTGTGTAGCAGGCAGTAGCTCCTCCACGGTTTTGGCTCTTACGCACGATCGTGCGTCCGTGTTCTTCAGCCTTTTCTATTTTCCGAATTTGACAAAACTTCCTTCATGAAAGTTTTAGATAATGAAGTTCTCTATCTACCAAAACTTGCCGAATGTGATTTGAATTATCCGATCAAGAGATATGATCAAAACGGTGGAAGGTGTCATTCTGAAATCGCAGCAGAGAACATCTGACTTCGTCATCTGTTTTCACCATCTTGCTCTCATATTCTCGTAATGGTGTCTTCATATGATTTGTATCCCTTGAAGTTGTCTTTCATATACAACTTGAATCATATCCATTAGTTGTTTTTACAAAGAGATATTCTTGAATGATTGACAGAAGGTCATTCTGATCGTCGTTTTCAAGCTTCATTCATCTTCTTTTGATCCCGAAGCCAATCCTAGAGCTCTTTTGTCATCAAATCTTCATCGTAAACCTCCCGCTGACCTCCATAGCTCTCAAATCAATCTCA